CCTTATTTACAGTTATAAGGAAGTTACAGAGAAAGCTTGGGATCCTACAGTAGTGGGGCCTACAAAATGGACATACCTTAACAACTGCAGATATATGTCACAGCAAATGAGTTGGAAAAACTAGAGGAAGCATATTCAGTTAGTAAAGGATGAGTAGTAACCAGTGGAGATATTAGGTTGTAGGTAATAGGTTATAGCCAATCAGAAGGTAGAGCCAGCAAAGGCCAAAAAAGCAAAGACCACAGAGTCAAGCTAGAAACCTTACATAATCAAGACAATACAGAGCAATACAGGAGCTAAGCAATATGACTATGAAGCAAGAACCATAGGTATCACACCAGCTGGGGAAAGGGAACACATATGTATGGACTTGTCCAAGTTGGTCTATCCATCTTTATTGTAGGGCACTCTGTATGTTTAAGGAGTTCTATGGTCACATCATGAATCTTCATTTAGTAACATCAGAATTATAATAACAATACAAACAATAGTTATTTTTGACCATCCAATATAAGCTTGCTTAAAATTTCTCCTTTCATGTTGTGAGTTCTGCTGGTCATCTCTTTCCAAAACGTCTTGGATTTCCAGCATGCTTTGATGCTTTTCTTCTGCTGCTTACTTTTGGTTTCTAAGAACTACATATCCCAGTGCCTACTCACAGGACATCGTGAATATGGGTCACAGAATGCAGAGATGTAAATGTGTGGGGATCTTACAATGTAAGTTTTCAAACTTTAGGATCATTCAGATAAATGGGAGTAGGCTTGAAATTAAATAAAAATGATATTAAACCCGATTTGATTTACCAGCTTCCGTGATGCCCTATCGCAGAAATACTGCTGCAGGGCGGCACGGGTGTGCAAAATCATGTGTGTGTGTTTTATATATATATATATATATATATATATACGTATATGTGATTTTGCAGTTCCGGGTAAGGGGATAGCAGAGCCATACAAAGCAGTGTGCTTACAGTGAAACACACACACAGCCCACATAGTAAAACAGCACACAGTTAACCCTTTGATCGCCCCACATGTTAACCCCTTCCTGCCCAGTGTCATTATTACAGTGTCAGTGGGTTTTATTAGCACTGATCACTGTATTGGTGTCACTGGAGATGTCAGTGACACCAAGTCAGCTCCCTCCAGTGTCAGAATACCCACCGCAGTCCTGCTATAAGTCTCTGATCTCCTCTATTACTATTAAAAAAAAAAATACAGTATATATATCGCCATTTGTAAGCGCTATAACTTTCACTTAAATCAATTAATTTACACTGAGTTTTTTTAGCAAAGACCTGTAGCAGAATACATTTTGGCCTAAATTTATGACAAATTAGATTTTTTTAATTTTTTACTGGACATGTTTAATAGCAAAAAGTCAATACTATAGTTTTTTTTCCTCAAAATTGTCGGTCTTTTTTGTTTATAGCATAAAAAATAAAAACCGCACAGGCGATCAAATACCACCAAAAGAAAGCTCTATTTGTAGAAAAAAAGGATGTAAGATTAATTTGGGTGCAGCATTGTATAACTGCACAATTGTCGGTTAAAGTAACGCAACGCTGTATCGCCAAAAATGGCCTGGTCAGGAAGGGGGGAAAATCCTCTGGAGGGCAAGTGGTTCAACTTGATTTTTGGGCTCAGGTAAATAATCCCGCACTGTATCTTGCTCTGCACTAGTCCACCTGCACAGATTATAGTTCCGGATGCCCACTGTATGCCTTTTCCGGTGGATTGATTCTATTGTGGAGCTGCTCCCTTAGTAAGTGTCACAGTTGCAGCTTGAGGGAGAGACCGATCACTGAGGTGGCTGAGAGCGCAGCAGGGGTGGACTAACCATTTGGAAACTCGGGCACTGCCCGAGGGCCCGGGGTCAGTAGGGGGCCCCATGAGATGCCCCTGGTACCTTTTTCATAGGCTTTTTTGAGTTTGGGCAAGGACACAGGGGCCCAATGATCCCCTATTGCCCAGGGGCCCCATGAGTTGTCAGTCCGCCCCTGGCAGCAAAAATACTCCCAGCAGCTGTACACAGTCTACTGTGGAAGGTGTAGTCCCCAGAATCCCCGCTATGTGATTATGGCCATCAACATTATGGTGATCAGAGCACAGAAAGTGATGGATGGCTCTGTCAGTATCATATGACTGTTGGATGCTGACTTCATTATGTTACAGTCTGTAACACACACTACACCCATAAATGAACAAAGTCAGCACCCAACAGCCATGTGACACCGACAGAGCCATCCAGCACTTTCTCTGCTCTGATCACCATAACGATGATGACCATAAGCACACAGTGAGATGAGCTTACACTTGAGTTTCAGGGGTGGGATAGGGAAGGGGGGACCTTTCCTAATTTTCCAGATCTAAATGTGACAAATCAGAAGAAGTCTGATGTAAATGGACACATGTAGATTTCCATCTGGCCACCCATAGAGGGCACCACCAAGTCTGTTGTGTATGCAGACACAAACTGAATGGACACAGATATCAAAACACTGACATCTGTCCTGTTCAACTCCAATTATTTATTTATTATTTATTTATTACAGGTACATATATAGCGCTGTCAATTTACACAGCACCTTACATTTAAATGCTTTACATATATATATATATATATATATATATATATTGTACATTCACATCAGCCCCTAACCCTCAAGGGGTGTACAATCTAATCCCTAACCTACATTCATACACATACATGCACATAATAGGGCCAATTTAGACAGGATCCAATTCACCTACCTGCATGTCTTTGGAGTGTGGGAAAAACTGAAGTACCTGGAGGAAACCCATGCAAACACCGAGAAGGGTCAGCCGCACACCGGAGGATAGATGAATATAGTGTGTCTTTATGAATCCATAGGACACACAAAACACCAGGACATGAATACAGGACTTAACACATTTCACACAATCTCCTGCTTAATCAAAACACAGGGAGAACATGCAAACTTAAGGCAGGTAGTGCCTCGTGGTTGGGATTCAAACCAATGACCCTAGTGCTGCCAGGTGGAAGTGCTAACCATATATATGATTAGAATATATTACATTTGTAAGATAATTACTATATAAGTACTAAAATAATGTATTTTAAAATACTGTGTCAAATATGTCTACCTCTCAGCAATTATAAGGTGAACTGTTTAGGCATGAATTAACTATCTAATAATTTGCTCCACCTCAAGTTCATGCCCAAAGCCAACCTCACCACTGAATATTTGAACTGTAAATATGCAAATTACCAAAGTAAGGTTTTATGGTGTTCTGAGGACCCAGAGGAAACACACGCAGGCACAGGGAGAACATGCAAAATCCAGGCAGGTGGTGCAGTGGTTAAGATTCGAACCAACAACCCTAGTACTGCCAGATGGAAGTGCTAGCTAATTAGCCATTGTGCTGCTCTATTATGATTGGTTGGGTGCTGTGACCTCTTCCTGGTGGGATAGCTGAGATGGATTCAGACTAGGGTCTGAGCACGCCTGAGCTTATCCCCGCTAATTAGTTGTTGTCAAAAAAGTTCTAAAATAGCACATTTCTACTGCTTTTTAATATGTGTAATAAGTTTAGAATATTATTGGTTATGAAAGGCAAAGTTAATCTTCTGAAACATGTTACATGTTCCACCTGTTTTTAGAGGGGAATGTCCTTTTGTTTCATCTGGTCAGTCGACCGCGCTTATGCTTATCAAAGGACGTTTTCCCGGAAACTATATATGTTGTCATAACGTTTGATACTGCACCTCAAAACACGGCAAATAAATTGTCAACTTCAGTCAAATTGTTGGTGCCACTTAGGTGGTGCCTCTGTGACTGAAGTTGCCAATTTGCTGCGTTGCGAGGTACAGTATCAAACGTTAAGATGGCATACTGTATATAGTTTCAGGGAAAATGTCATCTGATAAGGATAAGCGCGGTCGACATGGTCAACTGACCGGATGAGACAAAAGGACATTGCGTAGAATTATGACCCGGAATAAGAAAACAACTGCTGCAAAAGTGATTGTAGAGCTCAATCTCAGTCTTCACAGGACTCTTCACGGGACTTGACAATTGACAACTTCAGTCACAGAGGCACCAGCTACACTAAGAATTTGCTGTCTTTGAAGCTCAGTTAGCTCTGACATGACTCAGTATTACTAGCAGCACACGCAGTGAATGACAAAAGTCAGGCTTCCCATCTGTTAGGTTGGTGTCTCATCACACAGCGAAAGCAAAAGAATGTTACATCACTTCTGCTTTTAACACAAAACATGTTGTCACCTTCATACCTGAAAATCATGTAGTGTTTCCATTTTTTGGCCAACCAACCCCTGTGTATATATGTATACAGTATATATATATATATATATATATATATATATATATATATATATATATATATATTAAATGGGAATGCGGGGGAATGCAGTTCCAGCACTTGCAGGAGTGAAGGTGTGTAATGGCAAGGATGCTGGGGTGGGAGGGCCTATTGTTGCTGGCTGCTGGGGTTTCCTGCCACTGGGGGGATATATTTTTGCTGGGGAGTCTATTGTTGCTGGTGGGGATCTATCGTTGACAAGGGTCAATGCTTGATCTAAAGGATCTACTGTTGAGGGAGGAGTCTATTGCTGCTGGCTACTGAAGGGTCTATTGGTGCTGGCTGCTGGGAAATCTATTGTTGCTGGCAGGAGTCTATTGTTGCTGGGGTGGAACTATTGTTACTGGGGGGTCTTTTGTTGTTTTTAGGGATCTTTTATTGCTAACTGCAGGCGATCTATTTTACTGCATTTCTTGATATTATTAACAAATTCCATACACATTACTTAGCAACACAAAGCTACTGGGAGGTGGGTAGGGGGTGGAACCAAGGGCAGTGCTCGGAGGTGCGTAGTGGAAAGAGACAAGGGGTAACTTGGAAAGGAGTGGGGGGGGTACCTGCACCTGTTCTCTGAGAAAAAAAAGTGTATGTACAGTATATATATATTTATATATATATTGCCAAAAGCATTGGGACACCCCTCCAAATCATTGGATTCAGGTGTTCCAATCACCCCCATGGCCACAGGTGTATAAAATCAAGCACCTAGGCATGCAGACTGCTTCTACTAACATTTGTGAAAGAATGGGTTGCTACATTATGGGTTATGACTAAGGCTTTTTTTCAACCTATTGTATTTTTTATGTAATTTTTTGTGGTTGTTTCAATATAGAGGAAGATTTTAGCTCAGTGGCGGTTGTGCAGATCTTTTTTCCTATTCCAGTCTCACAGTACAGCAGCTGTGGATTGTGTTGAGCACCTTTTTGTTTCTTTCTGGTGTTCATGTATATAATCAAGCACCTAGGCATGCACACTGCTTCTACAAACATTTGTGAAAGAATGGGTCGCTTTCAGGAGCACAGTGAATTCAAGAGTGGTACCGTGATAGGTTGCCACGTGTGCAATAAGTCCATCCAACTGGGAACAACAGCAACTCGGCCACAAAGTTGTAGGCCATGTAAAATGACAGAGCGGGGTTAGCGCATGCACAGTGCGCAGAAGTCATCAGCTGTCTGCAGAGTTAATTGCTAAAGACCTCCAAACTTTGTGTGGCCTTCAGATTAGCACAACAACAGTATGTAGAGAGCTTTATGGAATGGGTTTCCATGGCCAAGCAGCTGCATTCAAGCCTTAAATCATAAACTGCAATGTAAAGCATCGGATGCAGTGATATAAAGCACATCACCACTGGACTCTTGGACTCTAGAGCAGTGGAGACGTGTTCTCTGGAGTGACTAATCACGCTTCTCTATCTGGCAATCCAATGGACGTGTCTTGGTTTGGCGGTTGCCAGGAGAACGGTACTTGCCTGACTGCATTGTGTCAAGTGTAAAGTTTGGTGGAAGGGGGGATTATGCTGTGGGGTTGTTTTTCAGGGGTTGGGCTTGGCCCCTTAGTTCCAGTGAAGGGAATTCTTAAGACATCAGCATAACAAGACATTTGAGAGACAGAGAGAGAGCGAGCGTCAGATGCCCAATGAAACAAGAGCACTTATATTTAAATTGACTTCTTTTACATTAATCAAGCCTACAAGGGTGAATAATGAGCAGCCGTTATTGACAAAGTCCTGCCAGACTGTGCAGCAATGGAGTGGATGGAGCAGGAAGCCAATGTAGTAAAATCTATCAGTCCCATGTATTATTGGAAAAGCTATCACCCCGTTCCTAGTGAAGATACTGGATGGCACACCCTGTTCTCCCTTCATCTTCAGACACCATGTGATAATCAATGCCAATACCTATAAATAAGCTTGAGTAAACAATATGTCAGAGCAAGATGAACCGTTTAGGCTCTCTATACTTTGGGCTTTTAAATCATAGAGTCAAAAATGTAAATGAGGAGCCAAGACAGGACACAAATCAATCCTACAGGGACAGGTAGTTGTCTTACAAGAGATCCTAACAGCTCTGTGTCAGCTCAAATCCAGACAGTTTTAACCATTTCACTGCTGGATGCTGCCCCTTCCATGGCATTAACAGCTCAAAGACTAGCACATTATGGACCTGGAGGTTTACCAGAATTAATATATTTAGTTTATTAGTTTGTAAGTTTGTATTCTTGACTTTGTATGTCCAAAGGTTTTGTGCAAATGTGTATCAAAATGAGGCTACCGACCAAATGTGCACATAAACATAATGTAGTCTCCAATTTCCTATTAAATCTAAAAGGTGAAACAGAGTTAATACAATAGGAATACATCTAGAATTGAAATAAGGGCATATTTGTAAAACAATAACAAATAAAAGCACAAACCTGTAATTGACTTATGTGAAAACCCTTTACTACTACATCTCTTCAGTATTCAAATAAAAATAAAATGATTTTGTTACAACAAATGTAAATAAGCTTTTATATTTGTGTTCTTCTTTGAAAGCAGCTAGAGCTTTTGTTGTAGCCGTCTAATAAGCCCTCTAGAACTAGTCCTTGTGGAAGTCATTTCATATATTTTCACAGTTCTCATACTGAAGAAAAATTTTTTTTTTTTTAGATGTGGATTGATTCTCTTGAGATCCAACAGCAAGGAGGGAGGCTTATGTCTCTTCCTATGACACTAAGATAAACAGCTTGGTACTGAATCTCATGTATTTATCTTTTTAAAGATGGTGATCATACCTTCAATTAGACACCTTTTTTGAAAGACAATTGTAAATAAAAACAAGCATACCCCCCATGAGTAAGTGCGGTTGCACGAAATTGCGTCATGAGGAACTGCGGCACAGTGACGTTTTAATGCCGCCGGCACCACTGGGGTCCCGGCGGCCAACTTACTTTCTTGTCTGGTCAGTATTATGTTTTTATACCCCTTTTTGCTGGATGGAATAAACACACGCATGTTCAAACGGTATCACGCTATTCTGGCCTCCTTTTCTCTCTGGGGCTCTTGGGTGAGCTTCCAATTACCTACAGAGTCAAGAGCAATAGGAGACAGAGCCATGCATGACAGCTGAGGGTCCACAACGCAGAATTAGACCAGACCTTGCTTCAGATGAGTCCTGGAGTCATACCTTCAGAGGGGTTATCTCTGACATGCGCATATTGATTGTGCATCTGGTGAGTGCACAATCTTATACCAATTTTGGATATTGCCATATATCGTTTTCTGGTCATCACCATATACCAACAGGGATCCAACCGATCCCCCACTCCACCCCACCTATTGAGGAGATTGTGAACTGAGCACCTATACCATATTGAGTCACCCTATTAGTGACAGTATTAGAACTTTTATTTTACCTGCGTTTTTGCAGTTATACACCTTTGCACTTTGATATGTAATTTATGTGTTTTATTTATCTTTATAAACGCTGCACTCTTATCTTTATGTAAATAAAAAAAAGTTGTACAATTTTTTTACAGACCAAACACAAACTTTTTGGAGCTGGTTTACTAAAGAAAACATGTTAATGCTTCAAAGATAATGTTGATTTAGCTTAGTGAATAGGGTAAACTGTGTTAAATTCAGTTATTTTATCACTTGCAAGCAAAACCCCCATTTTTTAAATTTCCCTTGCACATGATTGAGTATCCTAAGTGAACTTGGCTTCACTGTATTCACTAAGCTGAAGCAGTCATATGACTGTGACGAAACGGGCTGGGAGGAGTCTGGTGACATCATTGTGCACACTATGAATCAGTGTGGCCAAATGTTGGCAGCTTTCTGCAGATGCCAATAAGAAGGGGGTACTATTAAAATTAACCCTGGAGTACTAAAGTTCCTCTATAAGGACTGTTAATTTTATCATACTTTCTTTTGTAAAAGCCTTATTGTAAAAGTCCAAGTTGTCATTATATTTTTAAGCAAGAAATGGTTAAGTGTTGAGAGGTCATTTATTTTATGGGACTCTTGTTTCTTTTTATTCATAAAGAAGCTGCAGTTTCTTTACTTCTTATTTCTTGTTTTATTTTCTTTTTTTAACCAATAGCCTTTGTACTGCCATAATGGCTTTATAACATTGCCTGTAGGAAGGTGTGCTCAGAAACAAGCTGTTTACTGAAATAAACAGCTGGATGAGAAATACATCTGAAAAGACTGTAAATAAAGCTTTGAAGATATCAACGCTTTAATATGTAATTGAACTTTCAATTTCAATCAGCTAAATACAATCCAGACACATCGAAACAAAGGTTGTGTAAAGTCCTACAGTTGTTTTCTTTGCATAACAGTCACGGTCTGAGTAGAAAAGCCTGTCACCTGCCACCATGTTGGAGAGAGGGACCCTTGCTCTTTCTGAGGAAGCAGTGGTCTCTCTGCAGAGGTCCAACACCATCCCTATATCTCTGCAATCAGCAAAACTAATGCTTTTGATTAAAGAACTCTGATTCTGATTTAAAAGGGGGCATTCTGGACCTCTGCAAAGAATCCAATGCTTCCACACAGAGAACAAGGGTCCTTCACTGTAGGATGCAGGCAGGAGATACCTGTACAGCCTTGAGTGAAAGTGGTTAAACCAAGATCATGGCTGCAGCTGCAGCCATAATCCTAGTGCCAAACTTTTAAATCTGCAATGTGCAGTACTGTAAAAGTGATCCGAGCAGCTCTACAGCCACCCGATCATTTTTACAAGGGCCACAGAAGGGGGCATAAGAGAGCCCAGGACCACCACACAAGGTCAGACTGGCTAAGCACAAAGAAAAAGGAGGAACATCTGATTTTGTCACTTCAAGTTTTGGTTTGGTATTTATATGCCATTATCGGCCATACCAGCATCTGATCAAACAATCTCAGTTTGATCAGATGCTTTGGGAGGCAGAGGAAGGATCAGGGGTCTTATAGACCATAAACAGCAAGGAAGGCGCTTCTAAGTGCAGTATGCAGCGGTTTATTCAGTCGTAAAAGGTTAAAAAACACTTACAGGATTACAGCAAGGCAAGAGCTCATCAATCGTGTAGTTCCAGGGGAGCACACTGAGCTGACCAGTGGTAGTGAGAGTGGTGGAACGCACAAGAAAGATGGCTGCCGTACTTCTTGGAGAGGCATGGAACTCACACGCCAGACATGACATCAAGGGGGCAGTAACGTGTTTTGGAGCATGCACATAGCCAGTTTTATAGGCTGAAACACAACTGCACATAAATTGATGATTATGTTTCCCAGGGAAAACTGCTCAAACGTAATTTCCTGGAGAAGGGGTATCCATCCTCTCTAGTTGACTAAGCCTCTTCCTTTTATATGACTGATTCCAATACACATGAGTACCCACCCAAAAATAATGCTTCAAATGATATCCTTTTTGTTACTCAATTTCATAGCTGCCATAAACAGATGGAAAGTGTTTTATGGAAACACAGGCCCATACTATCACAGGATCCACAGCTAAAATACCAAGTGACAGATTAACCTAAATTCATATCTAGAAAAGCACATAATATAAAAGGTAAAGTGGCCCCCAATAAACTCAGACCTACAACCAGCCACATACTCTCTCTCACCCTTTCTCCTATCATTGGTATGTACGTTGTTTGACCTGTAAGTTTTCTCCTTCATGGCCAGAAAGAATTTGCCATCAAGGAGAAAACTTACAGGATCAAGGAATTCTGAACTTGCTCCTCAGAATATGTTGTCTATTGTTTGGCCTGCCCATGCAGTTTAGACTATGTGGACAGGCCCACATGCACTCCTCGCAGCGTTTTGGACAACACCACCATCTCATTGAAGAAGGTAAAGATGTACAAAGTGTCCTTAGACATTTCTTATAACAATATGATAAGTCCACGGTAGGGCTCAGAGTATGGTTTATTGAAACCATGCATCGAGATCTCTCTACTGCCAAGCAATTCCAGCAGCTGTGTAAGAGAGAAACATATTGGATATATGCCCTGGATGTACTGGCCCCAGGAGGTCTAAACGAGGTATTGGAAATTAATTCTATATCATAACTTTGTGTCCAACAGCTTGATCATTCTTCTTCTTTCATGTCTAATCATCATTATATTTCCAGTTTCCACAGATTTTTTCTCTTCCTTTTTCATTCATATTGATTTTCATAATTAAGTAACGAACTCTGTCTACATATACAACAATAGTAAGTGGATACAGACGTAAATAATGAGTCGATTATCATTTTTTTTTCATTAATGCCCTTGATTTTTATTTTTATTTTATTTTTATCTATTTTTATTTTATTTTACCATATTTTCATTTGTCAGCCTAAGTTTCCCTTTGTTGTTATGTAATTTTAGCATACCATAAATCTAGTATCATATATATATTAATATGCATTTTGTATAAGTAGCAATTGTATGCGTGATAATATGTGTCATTTTAATGTCATTGTAATTCCTGCCCTTGCTTGTAATGTCAAAACTATCCCCTAGGTGGTGCTTTGCCAGATACACCTAAACCCTAAGTCAGTCTTTCTCAACCAGGGTGCCCAGGCACCCTGGGGTGCCTTTAGATTTCTTCAGGCGTGCCTTGGCAAAATGTCTAAAAATTGCCCGAAACATGTATACAACCCTGCAGGTGGAGCAAGCCTGCCTTTTAGTTACACAAAGCCACAGGTTTTCATTGTGCACCATTATGACCTTCTAGCCACTGGCGTCCTGACAACCAATGACATCATCAGTTGATAAGGAGGATGTCAGCTACCTGCACAGCATCCTAGTTTAACCATTAGCCGCCCAGCCTATAGCCGTTTGGCAGCCGCAAAATGCTGTAGCTTTCCGGGGTGTACGCCATTTGGCGTCCTCCCGCACATGCGCAGTTCGTGCAGTCACAGAGCCGCTACTATGGTAACATTGTACTACTTTGGTCATAGTAAAATATAAAAAAAAAAATCTTAAAAAAAAATTAAAAAAAATGTAATAAAAAATTAAAAATAATAAAAAAAAAAATAATAAAAAAAATATATTTTTTTTTTTTTCATACTGTCACCAGTCAGTGTCCCTGTTCACTGCCATGCCAGTTATATGATGATGCTGTACTGCACTGGTGACAGTATGTAAAAAAAAAAAAAATAGTGAAAATTATTTTTTTAATTTTTTCATTTTCCAAAAAATTATGACAAAAAAAATACAACTTCAAAAAACTCGCCATGCCTCTTATGAAGTACGTCGGACTGTTTACTCTGCAAAAAGGGGTCATTTGGGGGATATCTGTACTGTTCTGACATTCTTGGACCTCAAGAAATTAGATTGGCTGTCAATACTTCAGGATTGATCAATTTTCAGATCTATACCATAGTTTGTGAACTCTATAACTTTCCTACAAACTAAATAATACATCCTAATTTGGGTTATTTTCACCAAAGACATGTAGCAGAATACATCTTGGCCTAAATTTATGAAGAACAATTATTTATTTGTAAACTTTTATAACAGAAACAAAGAAAAACTTGTTTTTTTTTTTTTTTCAAAATTTTTGGTCTTTTTTTGTTAATTTAGCAAAAAATAAAAACCCCAGCGGTGATTAAATACCACCAAAAGAAAGCTCTAGTTGTGTGAAGAAAATGATAAAATTTTAGTTTGGGTACAATGTTGTATGACCGCGCAATTGTCATTCAAAGTGTGAGAGCGCTGAAACCTGAAAACTGGCCTGAGCAGGAAGGTGTAAAATTGCCCTGTATTGAAATGGTTAACCCTCCCCTGCCCCTCTCCATCAGTGCTGGGGTCACATTAGCTCAGTGATGGAGAATAACTGAGGGAGAAGAGAAACAGTGGAATACTAGTCAGTATCAGTATGCAAAAGTGTATTTGGTTTGGAAGAATAAATCACCTCTAATTTTGTTCTTCAGTGCCTCTACGTTCAGAAAATATATAATGTTTGGGGTTTCTAAGTCATTTTCTATCAAACTTTTCTAGCAAAAGTGCAGATTTTAAAATGTAAGCGAGAAATGTCAGAACTGGCTTGGGCAGAAAGTGGTTAAAGATCGTGAAATGGAAAAAAAAAAAATCACACCTTTTTGTTTTGTATTTAACTGATTTAAATTAAAAGTTCATTTGGGCTTTCAGAATTTTTCAGAGAGAGCAGTTGTGTAGACAGTTGGATTCACCTATAAACACATTCAATTCCTTCTTGACATTTCATTTGCAATGCATTATATTAAGCCAAGTGATAAAATACTTTTTAATTTAATGTGATGTCTCAGTTAGTCCAGTTCACACATCATTTCAAGTTCACCATACAGCGTATAAAAACTTCATCTGAATAATTTGGCAAATTGGAAATAAAAAGGAAAACTGTATTTAGCAAAAATATGCAACATAATTCCAGCTGTGAATGCATGAAGTATTTATAGCTATATATGTTAGCAGCATCTAGTATAAAACTTGTGATGGGTGAGATCACCCTCAAGGGTTGTAAGACAGGTAAAAACCTCTTGAATGCCCATTCCAGGATCTATAAATAATTTCATTATATAGGTATTATGGAAGCACCTAAGGGGGTATTCTGTTATATCCCAGTGTTTAATGTAAAATCATCTGAAAATGAAACCTGAAACTACATATGATTGTACATTTTTAGAAAGAGAATTTGAAATGCGGACTTGAATATCTTATAAAACATATTACAAGCCATTATGTTACTTCAAAGAGGCTTATATTAGGATATTTGAAAGATTGCACATTTGGTCATAAAAGAGTTTTCTAGGATGAAAGAATATTAGACTAATGGTGTAACAACAGCCATAGTAGTTCATACAGCTGCTATGAGATCCAGTATACAGACATATTGAAAGCATATGTGTGCTTCGTCCATGCAGTGCAATGAATGTGGTACGTTTTTATGACAAGCCCTACCAGCAGCTGTTACTTATCTTCCATTTTCCCCAATGCCATACTGTTTACCCAAATTGTTCAATGTGCTCTGTTTTCCCACTGGGAGAGGACAAAAATACTTGGCACCTCCACAAATGAGTAGATGTTTAGAAAAATTAAAATTTATATACATTTATTACATACATACAGTGGATATAGCATCATCAATTTACATATACACTATATTGCCAAATGTATTGGGGCACCTCTCCAAATCATTGGATTCAAGTGTTCCAATCACCTTGGATATAGCATCATCAATTTACATATACACTATATTGCCAAAAGTATTGGGACGCCTCTCCAAATCACTGGATTCAAGTGTTCCAATCACCTCCATGGCCACAGGTGTATAAAATCAAGCACCTAGGCATGCAGACTGCTTCTAAAAACATTTGTGAAAGAATGGGTCGCTCTCAGGAGCTCAGTGAATTCAAGTGTGGTACCATGATAGGTTGCCACCCGTGCAATAAGTCCATCCATGAAATTTCCTTGCTACTAAATATTTCACAGTCAACTGTTGGTGGTATTATAACAAAGTGGAAGCAACTGGGAACAACAGCAACTCAGCAATGAAATGGGAGGCCACATAAAATGACAGAGCGGGGTCAGCACATGCTGAAGCGCACAGTGTGCAGAAGTCACCAAATGTCTGCAGAGTCCATAGCTAAAGACCTCCAAACTTCATTTGGCCTTTAGATTAGCACAACAGTGTGTAGAGAGCTTCATGGAATGGGTTTCCAATGCCGAACAGCAGTATCTAAGCCTTATGTCACCAAGTGCAATGCAAAGCGTCGGATGCAGTGGTGTAAAGCACGCTGCCACTGGACTCTAGAGCAGTGGAAACGTGTTCTCTGGAGTGATGAATCACGCTTCTCTGTTTAGAAATCCAATGGACGTATCTGGGTTTGGCGGTTGCCAGGAGACGGGATTAGCCTGACTGCATTGTGCCAAGTGTAAAGTTTGGTGGAGGGGAGGTTATGGTGTGGGGTTGTTTGTCAGGTGTTGGGCTTGGCCCCTTAGTTCCAGCGAGGGGAACTCTTAAGGCATCAGCTATTATGTACAATTTCTTGAGGCGTCAGACATTATGGGCAATTTCATGCTCCCAACAGTTTGGGGATGGCCTCTTCCTGTTCCAACATGACTGCGCACCAGTGCACAAAGCAAGGTTCATGAAGACATGGAAGAGCGACTTTGGGGTGGAAGAACTTGACTGGCCTACACAGAGTCCTGACCTCAACCTAACAGAACACCTTTGAGATGAATTACAGTGGAGACTACGAGCTAGGCCTTCTTGTCCGACATCAGTGCCTGACTTCACAAATGCGCTTCTGGAAGAATGATCAAACCTTCCCATAGACACACTCCTAAACCTTGACCCGCCTTCCCAGAAGAATTTAAGCTGTTATAATTGCAAAGGGTGGGCCAACTCAATATTGAACCCTATGGACTAAGACGCCATTAAAGTTCATGTGCGTGTAAAGGCAGGCATTCCAATTCTTTGGGCAATATAGTGTATATTATACAGTCACATGCCCTCCCCTCAAGGAGTTTACAGTCTAAGGTCCCAAACTCACATTCATATATATACATACTAGGGTCAATTTAGACAGGAGTCGAACAGCTTACCAACTTGTCTTTGGAGTGGGAGGAAACTCATACAGGCAAAGGGAGAACATGCAAACTCGATGCAGGTAGCGCCGTGGTTAGGATTGAAACCAATGAACCTAGTGCTGCTAGGCAGAAGTGTTAACAACTTAGCCACTGTGCTGCCCATTTTTTTTTTTTTACAGAAAGGATTAGAGCCCCCTGTCAAGTTTTGGCTGCTGTTCCCACTAGGTAGAGCCACCCTCTCTAATTGCCTTGGTGACCATTTTCAATGGAATAGAAGGTGAGAAATGCAAAATTGCCATTAGAACACAAGATGGAGGGAAATCTTTCATTTGTTCCTATGACAACTGTCAAGGAAGAAAGAGGAAAATGCTCCTCACTTTGTAGAAATGTCCTTCCACTTCCTGTTGCATCTACCAAACAGTAGGTGCCTGTGAAAACTCCAAAGGGAACAGAGCAAAAAAGTCAACTGACAGGGATATGAACACTTTTCTACTCTATCCAACACTGTTTGGCTAAACATAAACTCAACGAATCAGAATTCAAGCTCCTGTTAATCGGCAACCACTTGCCGACCAACCACAGTACATAGACTGTGGCTGGGCGGAGCCTGCAGGCAAAATCGCGTACATGTTTTTGCCTGCTCTGGTTCAAGGGCGCTCAGCGTGCCTGCCCCCCCCCCTGTAGATTGCGGATCCCAGTACTTGGGTCAGAAGATCATGTTATGAAGAAATCAGATGATCACAGTGTCAACAAAGCTGTTATGAATCAATTCATTCATAACAGCTGTGTTTCCTAAGCGGTGATTGGCCCACATCTGTCACATGGTACCTAGGCCAAATACAGCACCCTGTACCATGTGATTATTTGTAGTCAATCACAGATCACTAGTGATCACAGCTGTCATGAATGTAACCCATTCATGACAGTTGAAAATATGCTGTTACAATGATCTTCATTGTGCAAATACTGATCTTCATTGTACCCCAGAAACAACACCTCCTGCATTCAGGGACCCAGATCAAGGGTGGGTAGATGGATAAACCACTCAGGAAGCTTTTCCACTAATGGATCAAAGGTTGTGCAGCTCTTAACAAGGCTGGGGAGGTCCGACCAGTGCTGCAGAGTGAAAACAAAAAGAAAGCGCACCAATCTTGCACATTACCTCAATAAAAAGCTGTGATTTTATTAAAATGCGATGCATACTCACAAACAAAGCAGTATAACAGGCATATAAAATCCTAAAAGGAACATTGACGTGCAAGACCAGTGTGAATCACATCAAGAGGGGCGACTCTCTTCCTCAGAGCTAACAAAACCATGAGTGCCCTCTTCTATGTATATCGTAGAACTAAGAATAAGCCCTCCCAAATGGGTTGGGCAGTCCCAACAAAGAAGGAGGGGCATAGGTGTCAGAACAAACATGCTAAACAAAATAGAATGATATGGAACCATTTAACAACATTTTAAACATATCTATTAAATAAAAATATATATATACATATATTTTTACATATTTTATATATTTTTATACTAGCAGTGCACAAACGCATGATATGATTCAGTAGAGCTGATAGTAGGTGATCGTATTTACAACTATCATAATGATTAAAGGAATTTAAAGGCCAATAGCAATTATACTTTTACTTTTATAAAAAATGTGTACCTTAAGAATATGCATCTATAAACATTCCAAAGCCATCTGGGACACGCCTGCTACACACAGAAGTAAGTGGGAACTCGGTGAGCTATAAATCTCTAAGATTCTCCTTTAATAAGCATGGCCATAATAAATATGACCAGTAGCAGGGGGAGAGGCAAATCCTAGAAGCGGCTCCAGATGCCAGTGGAACGCACCCCAGTGTGTGTATAACTATAAAAGGGCACATGCGCAGTAAGTACAGAGGCATGCCGGTGCTGCCCATGGAACGCACATCCATGAGCGGTCCGACAGGCAGCCGTGCATGATTAGTGTAGTGAGGTGCGCCCCGGTCAGCCAATTGGTCAATCAGTGGAGCGCACACTCATGATGGATCGAAAGGGCGGCTGTACAGTGCGTCCCAGCCGCAGCTTCGGGTTCATGAGAGGAGCGCTTCCGGCCTCCACCTCATACTAGAAGCAGAAGTGGAGAGACAGGGGACACGGCACCGGCTTCCCAGGGAATGGAAGCTAAGGCTCCCACAGTGGAAGTATATTGGAATGGAGAAACTGGGGACACAGCATTGATAAATACTATGTCATTAAAATTGTCATCATCAATAAATCTTATCAATAATAATCATCATCAATGATAAAAAAAATATATAAAAACTATATATATAAAAATATGTATATATGGAGGTTTTGTGCTTCATGCTGCTTGGTATACAGGCTTGGCCCGCGTGAAGGATGGTCGTGACAAATTATGTTCTCCAGCAATACCAATAGTGTTATTAACGCCAGTGTTTATATATATATTTTTTTTATTATTATTATTACTTTATATATAGTTTTTATATATTTTTTTATCATTTTTGATGATTATTATTGATAATGATTTAATGATGACGACAATTTTAGTAGTCATCTCTATTGTTCATCTAAATTTCCTGGTCTAAAGTCAATAAAGGGGTGCATATACTGTAAGGCACATAAAAAACAGGGTTAAAGAAGATACAGTACAGAAGTCTAAAAAGCAGAATGCTTCCAGAGGAGGCTATATTGTCATTGCTAAGGACTACCATATTTGTATCATTTGCTAAAGCAATCAACCAGTAAGGAAACGGGTGACACAGTAGACGTGACAGATTTTATGGTAGTGAAAGGGTGTTATATTTTTGACACTACACTAGTGACCGGTTCCCCACATACTGTGACTGACCTTGTGGCACAGAGTACCTAGGGACCCAGCCTGGGAGTCATGAAAGTTATAGAGTGAGGCCTTTGGAGGAGAAAAAGCATAAAGGTATGGAGAAGTGCATTTCCTGTGTTCAACAGTAACATACCAGAAATTGTCACTGGAAGTGAGGTGATGGGATTGCTAAATTGGTGGAGAACAGTACACACTCTGCGGTACCAGTTCAGAAATGCTGCACACATGGGGAAATGGTGTTCTCTAACAGAAGTTGTGTCTAAAGTGCTTACTGTCAACAGGGGCAGCACAGTGGCAGCACAGTGGCTAAATGGTTAGCACTTCAGCCTAGCAGTACTAGGGTCATTGGTTCAAATCCCAGCCACAGCACCACCTGCCTGGCGTTTGCATGTTCTCCCTGTACCTGCGTGGGTTGCCTCCGATAATCTGGTTTCCTCCCACACCTCAAAGACTTGCTGGTAGGTTAATTGTATCCTGTCCAAATTGTCCCTAGTATGTATTAATGTGAGTTAGGGACCTTAGATTGTACACCCCTTGAGGGTTAGGGACTGATGTACAAAGAAAAAACTGGTCACCTACCCAGGTCTATAACTGGCTTTTTAAACAGTGAACATGGAAGGCGTCACAAAGTAAAAAATAGGACTATCCAGTTCAACTTGCCAGCCTACCCCAGTCTAATAATGGCTATTGTCGGCAAGGAACATGGATAAGTATAACTTAGCAAAAGAGGGAGATAAGAAAGCCAGTTCAAACTGCCAGCCAGTTAGCCAACTATCAAAAACCAAATTAACCTGTCTAAGAACATGCGTTTAAAAACAGGGCTTTAGTTAGCGCACATTTGCAAATACATACATAAGCCACAGAGCCACATCACGGCACCCTGAGTATCTGTGGTCCTAACTCTATAAATCTTGAGAGCCCTTACAATGGAGGCACATGCATTTAAATGGATAGAAACAAGGGCAGGTGAACCTGAGGGAGCCCACCCCTCATTAAGGTCATGGGAGCGCACCTGACACCCAGCATGTAGCACAACGGCAGCCAGGGTGTCCAATGCACCCACTGAACCTCCAAAATTAACATACAAAGAAAAAACTGGTCACCTACCCAGGTCTATAACTGGCTTTTAGGGACTGATGTGACTGTACAATATATATGTAAAGAGCTGCGTAAATTGATGCCGCTATATAAGTACCTAAAATAAA